GGAGCCGGTGGACCTGGACGGCAGCCAGAGCAACGCCATCCCGCTGGGGGAGGCGAGTGACCGGGAGCCGGTTGGGGAGCTCATCCTTCCCGCTGGTGCCTTCCTCCGTCCCTCTGGGGAGGTCTTCAGGGGCACGGTCAAAGCCAGCGTCACCTTCCTAGACCCCAGGGACATGGCGATGGCCAGCGCTGCCTCCAGTGACCTCAGCTTTGCCAACGCTGAGGGGGAGATCGTCCCCCTGCGGACCTATGGCATGTTTGCCGTGGATTTTCGGGAAGGGGAGAGTGGCGCGGCACTGCAGACGGGGCCGGTGGAAGTGCGGATGGACGCGGGGCAGGTCCAGATGCTGGAGCACCTGCAGAAGATGAAGCTGTGGTCCTTGAACCCTGAGACCGGCTTGTGGGAGGAGGAGGGGGACCTCCACCCGGCTGGGGGGAGCCGGGGGAAGAGGGAGGAGAGGACCTTCCTGGTGGGGAACCTGGAGATCCGGGAGCGGCGTCTCTTCAACCTGGACGTGCCGGAGGACCGCCGCTGCTTCGTCAAGGTCAGGGCTTACAGCAATGAGAAGTTCAACCCCTACGAGCAACTGGAAGGGGTGGTCATCAGCCTCATCAACCTGGAGCCCCAGCCCGGCTACCCCGCCAACCCCCGGGCATGGGGCCGCTTCGACAGCGTGGTGACGGGTCCTAACGGCGCCTGCCTGCCCGCTTTCTGCGACAGCCAGCGCCCCGACGCCTACTCGGCGTATGTCACTGCCACGCTGGGCGGGGAGGAGCTGGAAGCCGTGGCCTCCAGCCCCAAGCTCAACCCCAATGCCATCGGGGTGTCCCAGCCCTACCTGGGCAAGCTGGGCTACCGCCGGTCAGATCACGATGACCCCAACTTGAAGAAGACAGCTTTCCAAATCAACGTGGCCAAGCCCGACCCCAACAACGTTGATGAAACCAATGGTCCCATCTACCCTTACCGCAGCCTCGAGGAGTGCGAGAAGGCGCCGGTCAGCGCCAACCACCTCCGCTTCTACCGCGTGGAAGTGGACAAGTACGAGTACAACGTGGTGCCCTTCAAGGAGAGTGACCTGACTTCTTGGACCGGTGACTACCTCTCATGGTGGCCCAACCCTCAGGAATTCAGGGCTTGTTTCATCAAGGTGCAGATTGAGGGGCCGCAGGAGTACATGGTGAGGTCCCGTAACGTGGGGGGCAGCCACCCCCGCACCCGGGGGCAGCTCTACGGGCTGCGGGACACCCGTAGCGTGCGGGACATGCTGCTGGAGAACACCTCGGGCGCCTGCGTGGAGTTCAAGTGCAGCGGGATGCTCTTCGACCAGAGCCTGGTGGATCGCACCTTGGTCTCCATCATCCCCCAGGGCAGCTGCCACCGCACGGCCGTCAACAGCCTCCTCCGGGAGTACCTGAGCCGTCACCCGCCCGTGGCAGAGAGCAACCACACGGCCGCCTTCACCATGCTGGCACCAGTCGACCCTCTGGGTCACAACTATGGCATCTACACGGTGACGGACCAGAACCCGCGGTTGGCCAAGGAGATCGCCATCGGCCGCTGCTTTGATGGCACCTCTGACGGCTTCTCGCGGGAGATGAAGGCGGACGCC